ATAATCTAGTGGTTTTACTGTCCTTCGTTGACAGGGTTTTATATATTATATGTATGTATTATAAATTTAGAACTAGTTTTAGTCACGATATGGCTGAAATATTGCCGATGTGACTTTAAATCTTAACTTACTCACTCTTTGTTGAAACAAAACACACGCGGATTGCAGGGTCTGTGTAAGAACCATGTTAGTTTTATTTTCTAAAGTACATCGATGAACTTCCAAGCACTATAGCAATAGAAGATATGGTATACCACTGATGAAACTAATCAAGGAATATTGTTGATATAGTTCACTAATGATTTGATGATGTTTGCAGACATTGTATATTGATAATGTGAAGTCAATATTTTATATACATATTGTAAACATAGGCTGTATCTGTTAATATAGATGGTTCCAAAGTCAGTGGTATGCCTATGGCATATGGTTTGTAGACCTAGACGATGCTGGAGTGCTTTATATATATTGAGGTATAACCTTGACTTTTTGGGCAGAAAAGGTTTATGTATATACATAGGCAACCGGCCTTCACAACCTCTGATTTAAAACACTGTAAATATTTCAGGGGGAAATACAATTAACGAAATGATTTAAATTATGAACACTACATTTTGTAATTTTCATTAAAGCTTGAACCCAAAACTATTCAATCCTGGATTATGGTGCGTACCCTCGTATATCTACACCTACCAGTGGATTATGGTCCACATGTATATCTACACCTATCAGTGGATTATGGTCTACATGTATATCTACACCTATCAGTGGATTATGGTCCACATGTATATCTACACCTACCAGTGGATTATGGTTCACATGTATATCTACACCTACCAGTGGATTATGGTCCACATGTATATCTACACCTATCAGTGGATTATGGTCCACATGTATATCTATCTACACCTATCAGTGGATTATGGTCCACATGTATATCTACACCTACCAGTGGATTATGGTTCACATGTATATCTACACCTACCAGTGGATTATGGTCCACATGTATATCTACACCTACCAGTGGATTATGGTCTACATGTATATCTACACCTATCAGTGGATTATGGTCCACATGTATATCTACACCTACCAGTGGATTATGGTCCACATGTATATCTACACCTACCAGTGGATTACACATGTATATCTACACCTACCAGTGGATTATGGTCTACATGTATATCTACACCTACCAGTGGATTATGGTCCACATGTATATCTACACCTACCAGTGGATTATGGTCCACATGTATATCTACACCTACCAGTGGATTATGGTCCACATGTATATCTACACCTACCAGTGGATTATGGTCCACATGTATATCTACATGTATATCTACACCTACCAGTGGATTATGGTCCACATGTATATCTACCTATCAGTGGATTTATGGTCTACACACATTATGGTCCACATGTATATCTACACCTACCAGTGGATTATGGTCCACATGTATATCTACACCTACCAGTGGATTATGGTGCATTATGCATTATGGTCCACATGTATATCTACACCTACCAGTGGATTATGGTCCACATGTATATCTACACCTACCAGTGGATTATGGTCCACATGTATATCTACACCTACCAGTGCATTATGGTCCACATGTATATCTACACCTACCAGTGCATTATGGTCCACATGTATATCTACACCTACCAGTGGATTATCGTCCGTCACATGTATTATACACCTACCAGTGGATTATGGTCCACATGTATATCTACACCTACCAGTGGATTAGTGGATTATGGTCCACATGTATATCTACACCTACCAGTGGATTATGGTACACACATGTATATCTACACCTACCAGTGGATTATGGTCCACATGTATATCTACACCTACCAGTGGATTATGGTCACATGTATATCTACACCTACCAGTGGATTATGTATATCTACACCTACCAGTGGATTATGGTCACATGTATATCTACACCTACCAGTGGCATTATGGTGGTCCACATGTATATCTACACCTACCAGTGCATTATGGTCCACATGTATATCTACACCTACCAGTGGATTATGGTCCACATGTATATGTCTACACCTACCAGTGGATTATGGTCCACATGTATATCTACACCTACCAGTGCATTATGGTCCACATGTATATCTACACCTACCCTACCAGTGCATTATGGTCCACATGTATATCTACACCTACCAGTGCATTATGGATTATGGTCCACATGTATATCTACACCTACCAGTGGATTATGGTCCACATGGTCTACACCTACCGGTGGATTATGGTCCACATGTATATCTACACCTACCAGTGGCATTATGGTCCACATGTATATCTACACCCCAGTGGATTAGTGCATTATGGTACACCTACATGTCCACATGTATATCTACACCTACCAGTGGATTATGGTCCACATGTATATCTACACCTACCAGTGGATTATGGTCCACATGTATATCTACACCTACCAGTGCATTATGGTCCACATGTATATCTACACCTACCAGTGGATTTTGGTCCATATCACATGTATATCTACACCTACCAGTGCATTATGGTCCACATGTATATCTACACCTACCAGTGGATTATGGTCCACATGTATATCTACACCTACCAGTGGATTATGGTCCACATGTATATCTACACCTACCAGTGGATTATGGTCCACATGTATATCTATCTACCTATCAGTGGATTATGGTCCACATGTATATCTACACCTACCAGTGCATTATGGTCCACATGTATATCTACACCTACCAGTGCATTATGGTCCACATTTATATCTACACCTACTAGTGCATTATGGTCCACATGTATATCTACACCTACCAGTGCATTATGGTCCACATGTATATCTACACCTACCAGTGCATTATGGTCCACATGTATATCTACACCTACCAGTGCATTATGGTCCACATGTATATCTACACCTACCAGTGCATTATGGTCCACATGTATATCTACACCTACCAGTGCATTATGGTCCACATGTATATCTACACCTACCAGTGCATTATGGTCCACATGTATATCTACACCTACCAGTGCATTATGGTCCACATGTATATCTACACCTACCAGTGCATTATTATGTATATCTACACTACCAGTGGCATTATGGTCCACATGTATATCTACACCTATCAGTGCATTATGGTCTACATGTATATCTACACCTACCAGTGCATTATGGTCCACATGTATATCTACACCTACCAGTGCATTATGGTCCACATGTATATCTACACCTACCAGTGCATTATGGTCCACATGTATATCTACACCTACCAGTGCATTATGGTCCACATGTATATCTACACCTACCAGTGCATTATGGTCCACATGTATATCTACACCTACCAGTGCATTATGGTCCACATTTATATCTACACCTACTAGTGCATTATGGTCTACATGTATATCTACACCTACCAGTGCATTATGGTCCACATGTATATCTACACCTACCAGTGCATTATGGTCCACATGTATATCTACACCTACCAGTGCATTATGGTCCACATTTATATCTACACCTACTAGTGCATTATGGTCTACATGTATATCTACACCTACCAGTGCATTATGGTCCACATGTATATCTACACCTACCAGTGGATTTTGGTCCATATCACACATGTATATCTACACCTTCCAGTGGATTTTGGTCCATATCACATGTATATCTACACCTATCACTAGATTACGGTCCGTATCCTTGTATCCTTGTATCTACACCTACCAGCGGATTTAATAGCATCGGATTATCTTAACAAGATTACCACAGAATATGCATGCTTGTAAACACTGTTGAGTTACATTTGACAGACGTATGTTACTGTAAGGTGTCTTAATTGGGTTGTGTGAAATACGTTGTTTGTGCATGTAAAGGACAAGACGTTTGGGATGTTCATATTTTTCTATTGTAGCATCTAAACCTTTCTTCAACCAAAATTATATCTAAATTGCATCAAAATACTTTCATTACGTCGAAGTCCGTCAGAGTTTAGAAGGGATGGCAAAAATTCAAACGTACAGTTGGTCTCAAGTTAGAAATACTAAGTCTTCATTAATGTTTGTTAATAATTTGAAGATTGTCTTATGATGAATGTCTTGTGTTGCTTAGCTGTCCAAAACCTGTGAGTTTACGGTTAGCCTATATACCAGAGAATTATTATATTTAGAATCAACGAAGGTTTGTTATGTATCGTATACGATCAAATCATACTATTTTCTGAATATATCTCTGCATATTGATAGAATGTGCAGGCTGAGATAACTGATAATGATAACCTTCTTGTTTAACTCCACACTCAGCAATATTCCATCTATATGGCAGCGGTCTGTAAATAATCGAGTCTGGACCAGATAATCCAGTGATCAACAGCATGAGCATCGATCTACGCATGTGTCAGCCAAGTCAGCGAGCCTGACAACCCGATCCCGTTAGTCGCCTCTTACGACAAGCATTGGTTACTGAAGACCAATTCTGTCTGTCGAATACAATCTGTCTGTCTGCGTGTCTGTCTGTCTAAAACCCATTCTACTGTATCTGCAAGCGCTATGAGTGTATTTGATACACGGAATACATGTGAATATTTTCTACAAGTCTGTGATTCCTTTCATAGTCCAAAACGTCGGTTTCCAATAGAATGTCTAAGAATACCCATTATCATTTTACAATCTTAGAACTGTATAGATTTTCCCATTTACAGACACAACATTGAATTGATGAGAAGTTGCATATTTCCATATATATTAATGCGAAAAGATGCGATGAAGATTCAAATAAATGGAATTAATTAATCATTTCCCCAGCGTACAGCATTCAGCATATTCATGCATGATTCATCACACAATCACTGCTTGAAGTTGAAACACAAACGACCCGCATGCATACCGAAAATGTCATTACATCCACGATGCGAGACTTGAAATGTGATCAATTCAGGAATAATATCAATAATGATATCTCATAGACTCTTTGTTATTTCAGCTACACTCTGAGAAACGACTAAGAGCTTTGACGCCGACAGCCGACCACGTTAATCCGAACCGGTGAAAATCATCCCTGCGACAACGCTCCACAATGACTGCGCTAAACCCTGATCGCTTCGCTGATGCTGTTTAGTCACGAGGTGTCTGTACTTAACGACAAGAAGTGGTCATTGTTGTCGACGTGTAAATTACCCCCGTAGGCAGATCGCCAACTATGACGGTGTATAAACAAAGGTCGTTCACCATCTAACGTATTAATCCCAAAGATGGTCTCATTCACACAACACTATCGGCACGATCAACAGAGGACTGTGGAAACCTAAGTGATTGACGTTACTGTGTTACCGCATGTACGGCTACCCTTAAAGCACAGAATGTGATAATGAGATTGAAAGTGTGATATACTTGGTATGTTGTAATAGTGGGATTTGCTGTTGTATGCCAGTGTCGTGATAGATGTTATCAATGCCGCAATTGATTGTACTACGTCGTCATACGAGTTTCGTTTCGTATTAGTCGGATGCCGAATTTTATCAAAACCTTTTGTCGGTGATCAGAATAAGAATTAAAACAATCAGAGTGTTTGTTTAGTGATGTATTTGTAAGAATATAGGTTTTAGGATGAGAAAATAATTAGAAATCTCCTTTTTGTCCTTTGGCATTATATATTTAAACAATCTTTAAATTCCACATTTTAGGAGTAGCTGTGAATCTAGTATTTTGTATGAAGCCCAATTCTGGTGTCCCCAGCCGTGATATTGCTGGAATATTGCTAAAAGCGGCGTAAAACTATACTCACTCACCCGCTGTAAGTATTTGAAAAAACAATAATTGTATTGGATAATATAGAATTGGTTTCAGCAGAAATAAGCAACATAATTATAAACCCCGACGTTAATACGAAAAAGTTTAAGAATATATGATATTTTTGGGAGGATCGTAAACCAGTACATCATGATAGAAAAACCTGAGGCTTGCATGTGAATGACTGTACTCTTCATATAGTATCACCTGTTCCCAGACACGCAGAGCGCATGCACTGGAATAGAAACAAGTGAAGCGGTAAATCCAATACCTAATTGGCTAGTGGGACTTGTGATTATCGCTATACAAGTACCACGTGATCAGTAGTAACAGGGTAACACATTTAGGATACTTACTGACCGACAAGGGCCGGGCTGACCACGCTAATGGATGTACTCAATACATGCAGGAAATACTCCGAGGGCCGAATATTGTGACATCAGCGTATTCGTCTGTTACAACAGCTGATCATCATGGGATATTTCAGTCAACGAATGGATGTCGATGAAACTGTTTTGTTCTTCAAGTAAGTTTTGTACTGGATGAATACGGGATCTTGTTGAACAGACTTTACTGCAGCTTAATATTTGTGAATCCAGATCGAATTTCGTCGGGACTTTTAAACTCGGAGCAGATCGTTTAGATGAAATCAACTGCGATTTTACACAGGAATCACAAATGGCTTTGGTGATTTCAGATGGTCGGTGGCTAGGTGCCTGATTCTGAGGGTGTGGGTTCGTGGGTTCGAATTCCAGATGGGACTCAATCCAACAAAAGTAATAGAATCTGTACTTACTGAGATAATGTAATCCAAAAGAAAAAACACACGTTTTAATTCCATCAGCAACTACTTTGAGAAATAATTCTCATTTTGTCCCGAACCAGCAACTTCATACGATGAAAAAAGTGAACTGGAGATTTAATTGAATTTAAAATTGAACATAGTTTAAAACGACGTTAATGCAGCTTTCGTAAGAGCTACAGAATCAAGAACTTAAAAGAGTTTATCAGATATTATATGTACCATTAATGGGACTTTTTAGAGTTTTTAGATGGAAAACATAATAAAATAACTCTTCGATATTTTAAGCTTTGAAATACAAGAGCATGTTCGGCCTTTTCCTTTAATTCATATATATATATTCCATTAATGCATCAATATCTTTGTCTCATGTAACATATGACTACTTAATAGACAATAAGAGTTTCTTGCAATTAAATAAAACAAATCAGCCCGGGCGTCTTTCAACTACTCAAACAAATGTCAATAATGACAAACAGTTATATGGAAATTGAAAGCAGATGTTCTATTGGTTGAAAATAATGGATGTTCTGAGATGACCCCCGGGTCAATGGCAGTGATGCTGTATTGATCTCACTTGTCACAGAACAAATGGTAGGTGGGTCTCTAGCATAGTTTTCTAACTTGCAAATGGCTCATACCTAATGCCTTACTGAGTTGGGGAATCTGATTAGATAGGGTTCTCTAGGAATAGGTTTGTCGGAATTCGCTTAGGGCTACCGTCCGGACCGGCTGTGGTGTACTGGGATATATTGGACAATGTCCAGTCAGTGTGTCTAAAAATATACCCGATAATGGATATGTCGTACAACTGTGGAGACATTATCAAATGTCATTGAACAATATCAGTGTGTCCAGTCAGTCACGAAGACAGTGGACATGGGAGACTACTACAACTGCTACATCGGAGACTACTACAACGATAGATATCATTTTTAGTTATATTTCATCCATGTCATTCTAAATGGCTCAGATTCTTGTACTTTTGGTATCTGTCGCCATGGTACCGTCAGTGTTCCCAAACGTCATTAACCTTGGAATCCTAGTGCCAATAACGGGTCCAAAGAGAATGGGACCCGAAATTTACACCGCCGTCAACATCTCCATCGACCGCATCAACTACGACGCCAACTTCACCGCACTACGAGAGAAGAACATCACCTTCTCGTTCATCGTGGAGGACACAACCTGCGATGTTGGACATGGGCTTTTTGAGTTCGTGGAAATGGTTACCCACAGGACCATTGCCTTCGAGAACACCCATGCTTTTATAGGTACGTACCATTGATATACATTCTCATCATTTAGGGCCTAGCGGTTAAAGCGTTCGCTCGTCACGCCGAAGACCGGTGTTTGATTCCCCACGTGTGTACAATGTGTGAAGCCCGTTTCTGGTGTCCACTGCGGTAATATTGCTGGATTATTGCTAAACGTAGTCTTAAACTAAACTCACTCACTCAACAATTAGAAAATTCAGAGGCACGTTGAGGGCCAGTCTTCGAAGTTGCTGATATGAAACATACCAGGGACCATGGGTTACAATTCAGGTTCATTTTGCCCGACACACTATCCGCACAGGTTAAGACCCGTATCCCTTCACCTGTTCACCACGTAAATCAAACCGATTAAAATATTACTACAACAGAGTCCCAAGCGGATAAAACTCGGGTGAAAACTTCGGTGAAAATCCGGGTTAGAATTGGTCTTCAGTTGCTTATCGTAAGAAACGACTAACGGGATCGGGTGGTCAGACTCGCTGACTTGGTTGATACATGTTATCGTATCCCAATTGCGTAGATCGATGTTCATGACGATGATCACTGGATTTTCTTGTCCATAGTCGATTATTTACAGACCGCGACCACATATACTACCCATCAAAGGTTTAAACTCACTTAAAGCACTCACTGTTTGTTATGTATATATATGTGGTTACATCGAAGATGAATTTCTCCACTAACTTGGGGGGAACCAACTGCATACCTAATGCAGATGAATTGCATGAGGATTATGCAATTCATTGCTGAAAAGCATGTGCAAATATCATGCATATGAACAGCTGCGTTTTGGTTTTGATAAGTTTTGTAAAGTTTTGTTAAGAATTCGCCATTTTTACTGAGTTTCTTCATTTATTGAACTCACGACAATAATCTTCCAACGTTACGAATGTGTTTTACAATACATCAGTTCATGTGTAAACAGTACCTTTAAACAGTATGGAATATTTTGCACGATCTAGTTGACTGAAGTAACTGGCTAAATTTACACTAGTGAGTCTAAACTTTTGATGGGTAGTATATAGAGAATACTACACGAGGTCTCATTACATACGAATTATACGAAACGAGTGTCCTTCCTATGGTATCTGACCGAGCGAAAGCGAGGTCAGATAACATAGGAAGGTCACGAGTTTCGTATAATTCGTATGTAATGAGACCGAGTGTGGTATTTTATTTATTACCCACGTCTTACATGCATTTAAATTGACAAAATAGCGTATTTTTGTTATGTTTTTGGTTTCAAACCGAAACCGGTTTCATAAAGAGGTTGCGGAAGAGTTTTGTACTGTAGTACAATATTTTGCATGACGTCACACTAATGACGTCACTGCCATGGTAACCGACGTCACGATGCATGTCTGTTGTAATCGCCTCGTACAGCCTCCTACAGTAAACTACTCCGTTGCACCTCGTTTCTTGGTTTCCAGTTGCTTCATTCGGCTAACATCACTGGTGGAAACATTGCGTTTATGTTTTTCGACGGATATAATGTCTCAGTTCGACTCACAATTAAACAGCGACACGGCAACGTTCGCAATGTTTACATTCCCACAATGCATTTAAGTTGTAGAATGAATGAATTCACGTGTTTGTTATGAATGAAAAAAATAGTTACGTCAGAATGTGACCTAATTGAGAGGTCATCGGTTATCCAATCAAATCGTTAGAATTTCAGGTCAAGTCGTTACGACACAGGTCAACGCGATATGACACTCGTGTGACGTACGGGATTAATATGCAATTACCCATACGTTGACCACGTGGGTAATAAATGTAGAATATGGCTGAGTGGGGCGTTAAACAACAAACAAACCAAACCCAAGGGGATAAAGTGAGTGAGTGAGTTTAGTTTTACGCCGCCTTTAGCAATAGTCCAGCAATACCACGGCAGGGGCGCCAGATATGGGCTTCACGCATTGTACCCATGTGGGGAATCGAACCCGGGTCTTTGCTTTAACCAGTAGGCTACCCCCACCGCCACCTAATTGGATATAACTAAAAGAGAAATTTAGTGAGTATCCCTTTAAGCAGCTTTCATCAATATTTTCCCCACAATATATGCTCACTGGGCACCAGAAATGACCCACACATGTTATTACCATGTAGGAAATGGAACCAGTAGGCCTAATATTTATGGGATACAAAGTGGAACGAGACTGGGTGTCATTCGATGCTCATGCGGTCAACCTCTTGTTCCCCGTCATGACATCTTGAAATGTAATTATATTTAACCGATAACGTTATCTTTGTAATCTATGATAGCAGTGTTATTATTTACGTTAAAACAGAATATTGAAGCTGTTGATTGACCCTAACACATTCCAAAGACCCGGGTTCGATTTCCCACATGGATACAAAGTGACGCACATTTCTGGTGTCCCCCGCCGTGATATTGCTGGAATATTGCAAAAAGCGGCATAAAACCCAACTTACTCACCGACAAAGAACAGCTGAAATATCGTTCCATATCACTGACTATTGGCTTTCTGTCGCCCTATATAGAATTGATTCATTTGGTAATAGTATAGCCCGAAGATATATCAATGTCAAAGTAGATATTTATGGTAACCATTAGAAACCAAGACAAGGATGATGCGGCTGGTCTGCTGAAATGACATAAGGTTGCATGCCAAGACTCATTAGGTATCTGGGGAAATGTGGTGGTTGAATTAAATTCGTTTGATAGCCGCATATGAGTGTTAATTGATTATGGGAAGCTGTATGCGTGGGATTTCCGGTCTGCTTTTATCTGACACGCCATCATGTAACTAAAAAAGGTTACTCTGTGGCCAACACTGTATGATCACTGTTACTCAGTAATATTCCAGCTATATGGCGGTGGTCTGTAAATAATCGAGTCTGGATCAGAAAATCTAGTGATCAACATCGTGAGCATCGATCTACGCAATTGTGTCAACCAGTGGCCGTATGCACATGTTGGGCGTAGCTAACGTCAGGCGTAACACACTACGTCGGGCTTAGCAGCGCCCTCCTCTTACACGTCATGCACAACGTCGGTTAAGCCTAGACGTTACTACGCCCGGCTTAACGGATTTACGTCAAGGCGCGGTGTGCTATTTTTAGATTTTCGAACGTTTTTAAACCACCGGTAAAAGGCGCGAAACAACTTCGCGGTACATCCCTTGCAACCGTAATCATGGAAAGCCAAAGAAAACCGAGAAAATCCAACTTTACCGATGGATCCTGATGGAGAAATAACATGGACTTTCAAAATGGGCTTCACCATAAATGTCGCCATATTTGACACATTACGAAATCACGATTCACAACGTTATTTGGTGTATGTTTTCAAATGTTCAAATCGGATAATTACTACTCAGATGTATTGAATTTCAAAAATAGCATATTAATTATCACTGATATCAGGTTTTCATGAAATAGTGTTTACAAAATCACGTTTCGCGGAGGACGGTAATGAGACGCCAATTTCATCACGTGTATATCACATTTACCTGCGACAAATGCATCACTGAATTCCCCATACATTTTAGAATCATATTACTAATGGTCTTTGTCACCAATATCAACTGTCTGGATAAAATGAAACGAAAGATATTGAGTATCAAAAGTCCAAACGAACGCTGTGCTCGAAAGGCTGCGCTTGTAAAGAAAGAAAAATTCCGATTTTATACTACGTAGCATTTTCTGAAATTTTCCGACATGCAACCGTCTATTCATTGCTTGCAATGGCTCAATAGCTTTAGAATATGCATGGAAAGAGTATCGTAGCAAGAAACGGGAAATTAAAAAAAAGAAGCAATGCAATCATTTGATATTTCATAAGAAATTGTCGAAGTGTCCGTGCAGCGTGACGCCATGACTGCCCCAGAACGACAAAGGTTTTTATCAGCATTTCTGGCTTCTTCTCTTACTTACAACGAAGCGATAAAACATATAACAATACACATATAGTCAGAATCATTCTGATTACTTACATCTCATATTTATGTACAAACGATCCCTGAATCAAGGGAAGGGTCCTCGCAAAATCCTGTGTACCCTTGTCAGCGTGGCCGCCATTTTATAAGTAATCGGTCGGTGGTAGTGATGTCATACGTCAACATTGTTGTACATGTTAGACAATTTCTTTGAGGTGAAGGTCGGTTGAACAAGTGTAAACACAATCGCCCTAGCCTTCCGATTACACTTTCAGTATTATGATGTATACTTTGCGTATCGTTCAGATATTTTTCATCAAACTATTTTCAGTATACATTTAGCCTTGTTCAATACCATATTATACCTGGATATAGGGTAGGCGTTTTTAATTCTTTGAAAGTTTTTGATTGTTTGAATAATATTTACATAAGAAATTGGCACACGTAGCCATAACTGCAAAATATTTGGGTGTTGTGAAATATTATTTTTCATTTACGTTAAATTGATGCCAAACAGGTGCGCGTGTTGCTCACAATAAAAATACGCAGTCAAACCGTCTAATTGTTGATATATTCAGGACACTATTTAATTGGTAAAATCATTCATTTTATGTTTGGTCTAAAGAGTGTTAAATTCAGACATAGAAGCCGAGACCTTTCATACAATTAATGGAATTTAGGTAAGATATATACTAATCAGCAAACCAATGTCGTCTTTTTCCGACGTCGCAAAATGCATATAACAAGCCATGACGTCAACTAAAATGTTGTATTATTATCAGTAATTTCATTACATTTGAAGATATGGCTAGTACTCCGTTAATAACTCAGTTATGCCCCCTTATCTTTTATACGTGTATGACCTCTCTGTCGTCAGTTGACGTCATAGAAGAAAATCCATTTTTGACACTTATTGCGAGTCATTTTTAATGTTGAGCGTCTAACGTTATGCATTAGCACATAAACCCAATTCATATACACTTATGTCGTTCAGATATCAGGCTGTATTTTCTTCGCTCACACTTTCTGTAAAGATGCCAAATTAAAAAAATCGTAGCAGAGTGCTTTTATCGGTGCACGACAAAAAGCGGAGAA